AACCTCGTGGCTCCTGTTCCGGCCTCTTGGCCTTCCCTCCAGCTGTCCTCCCTCCCTCCCACCCTCCCGTGGCCACTTGTCTCTGGGCCTCCAGGCCTCTGAACAAGAGACCCTGTGTTCTCCAGTGGGGCCTGGGCGGGCAGGGCGGGGGAGGGGCTGCGCAGGGAAGAGGGCCGTGGCTTCTTGGTGTGTCCCCTCCAAGGCCTTCCCTGGGCCACAGGACGCCGGCTGACTCTCAGACGTGGCCCTGCAGGCTGCCACCCTGAACAGAAGCGCCCCCACACCCGCCAGGGACGCGACTGGACTGGACGCGAGGGCACCGGAGAGGGTGGGGGTGGAGCTGCTCCCTTGGGGTTTCTGTACTGTAGGAGACCCAGCCTCCTCTTTCTCTCACGGAGCAGCTGGTGGAGTCGAACCGCCAGGGTCTGCTTGTTAGCGGCTCGGCGCAGGGTCCACGGTGCCTGCCAGCAGGCTTCCCGGAAAGAGTTGATCAAGCCCTAATGGCAAAGAGGCCATCGCTGGATCCTCTCAGGAAGAAGCAGGGGCTGGACCAGCCGGGGCCGGGGATTCCAGGGGAGCTCAGTGGCGGACAGATGGGGAGAAAGCTGGGAGTACATCCAGGTGGGAAGGCCTGAGCTGGGGGAGGGGAGGAGGCCCGAGGGTGCTCATGATCAAACTCAAACTACTTGAGTCACTTCCCTTGAGACCCTAGAGGGCAGGGTAGAAATGCCACCACCACCACCACCCCACCCCGCTCCCCCACTCCAAGGCGGTAACTCTTTACGGGAGTAGAAAGCCTCTTCTCCCACAGAGTGGCTGCTGGTGGTTTCAAGCGGTTGACCTCCTGGCTATAAGGAGCTGGGTGCGTGTGCCGTGTCCCAGGCCGCCGAGAGGTGGCTCTGGGATGGCGTGGCGGCGGTGAAACGGCCCACTGGCTTCTGAAAGGTCGGTGGTTCGAGCCCACCAGCTGCCAGAAAGCACTGGTACAGTTGTGCTCTGAGACCCCAGGGGGTGGCGAGAGCCGGTGGGGCGGACACAACACGAACCAGTGGCCTACTGCCTGCCACAAAGCAGCCCTGGTAGTACCAAGGTGAAAATGTCGGTGGTTCAAACCCACCAGCCGATGTGCAGTTGAAAAGATCTACTTCCCCCCCAGAAGTTGGCCTCCCGGTGCAGTTCTATTTTGTACAACGTGCTGGAGGGGATGCTATGAGTTAGAAGAGAGAGGAGAGGGCTTGTTTGCGTGCAGGTGGTCTTTGTTGTGTCCGTGAGGCAGGGGCTATCTGAATTCAACCCGCTAAAGAGACTTCAGACCGAAGCCTGGTGCCGCGCAGGCGCAGTCCGAGTCTAATGCACGGCGACCCGGGAAAGTCTCCGCGGCTGCAAACCTTCACGCAAGCAGACAGCCTCATCTGGCTCCCGCCGAGCGGCTGGTGGGTTCGAACCTCCCACTTGGCAGGGAGCAGCCCTACGCCTAACTCACGGCGCCATCAGGGCACCTTCCTGAGCCAAGGCGGAGGAGCCAGCACCCAAGGAGAAGATGAGAACAGGTCAAGGGACCTCTTGGCAACCGGGGGGGGGG